GTTTTCTCAAGGAAGCAAAAGGCAAATTTACCAGGTGGTTTTACTTCTCCCCACAAAGCAGTCCTGCTCTCTGTAGTTGTCAGTGCAAATATCCATGAGCACATTTTAAAACCCTGTTCAAGCAGAAATAAAACATTGAAGCCTGGAGCTCGTGGGTGGATTGACATTTCCTTGTCACTCATCATCATACACCAGAGAGCGTGTCCTGGAGGAATAATACCTCAAAACCCTGGCTCTCTGGGCTTAAGGGAGTGGCACAGGTCATGAAGGGTCTGTATCTTGGCTCAAGACTCAGGTCTTGCAAGAAATACCACATCTGTTTTCTTCAAAGATTACTTATCATAAGACACCACATATACAACGGACTACATATAACACGTACATATAATATAAAAATAATCATAAATGAAATTATTTTCATTCCTTTATTTCCATCTAGGATCATTTTCCTTCTTTCCAAAAGGATTTCCTTGAACATTTCTTGTAACATAAATCTGACGGTAATAAATTCTTTTTTCAGCTTTTGTGTGTCTTGAGAAAGTATTCATTTCACCTTCGTGTTTGAAAACTACTTGTTACTGTTTAGAGAATTCTAGACTGACAGTTTTCTTCATCTTCCAGTATTTTAAGGGTGTTATTGCACTGCCTTCTCCCTTGTGTTGTCTCCAGCAACAGGTCTGCCGTCGTCCGTAGCTTTGCTCCTCTGTACACACTGCATTTTTCCCTTTGGTGCTCTAATATTTTCTCTTCATCACTGGTTTTGGGCAATTTGATAAAGATGGATCCTGGAGTTGTTTCTTAATTTCTTGTCTCTGGAAGTGTTTCAGCCATTATTTCTTCACATTTTTTTTTTCTGTTCTCCTCCTCTCTCTAAAATTACATGTTTATTAAACCACATGAAATTGTTGCACAGCTCACTGATTCTCTGTTTATTTCATGTTTTATCCTTTTTTTTCCCTGTCATTTAAGATACTTCCTATTGCTGAATCTTCAAGTTCACCAGTATTTTCTTTTACAGTTTCTAATCTGCCACTAATTTCATCTTACGTACTTTTCAGCTCTAAGATTTCAGTTTAGGAGTTTTGATGTCTACTTCTCTGTCTAGGAAACACTCGCTGATCTCCTTTATTCTCATACTGAATACTTTTGACACCAGATGTGTCCTACAATTCAATTCAGTTCTCACACCATCTGCTTGGAGTAGGCATCAGTTAAAGGCTAAGTCCCACAAGACTTCCCCCTTTTCATACATCAATCACAAGTCCCAGGTTGTCACCTGTACTTCTGACTGACTGGTCGTAAACTGAGGTTCTGATGACTCCCTCCTTGGGATCGATAATTTGCTAGAATGGCTCATAGAACTCATGGAAACACTTACTGGTTTATTACAAAGAATATAATAAGGGATACAGGAAGAGCTACAGAAGCCAAGATCTGGAAAAATCCCAAGCTTGAGACTTTCTGTCTCTATGGAGTTGGGTTGCACCACCTGCCTAGCACATGGATGTGTTCACCAACCTGGAAGCTCTCCAAACCTCATACTTTGGGGATTTTGATGGACGCTTCATCATGTAGGCATTACTAACTCCATTTCTAGCCTCTCTCCCCTCTTCAGAGAGTGAGGTCTGGGGCTAAAAGTTTTAAGCTTCGAATCATGGCTTGGTCTTTCCAGTGACCAGCCCCAATTAGCCTCATCTTAAAAATTCTCCTGTCACCCTTGAAATTTTAAGGGATTCAGCAGTTCTGTGTCAGATGCTCCTATTACTCAGGAAATTACAAGGATTTTAGGAGATCTGTGTCAGGAACTGGTGTCAGAGACCAATGTGTATGTATGTATTTTAATTTCACAATGCCTCACTAACCTTTTGTACATACAGAGAAGAAACACTTTTTACACGTATTGAACAGTTACAATAATTGTTTTAATGTCCTTGTCTCTTTAACATCCATATACATTCTGAGCCTGGCTTCCAGGAGCCTTGTCCCACAAGTCCTCAGTAGCTTCCAGTCTGGGGAGGAGTGTGATCTGTCTACCATTGCTGACTCTCTCTGCCTGTCTGTAGTGACAGTGGGCCAGCTGAGAGATACCTTTGTCTGAAGGAGGGCAACAGGCTTGACTGAGAGGAGCTCTCCGATGTCCTTTTAGACACATGCTCCATGAGGCCCTGGAGTCCCTCCTTGCTTTGAACTGGTGGATATGCCAGGGGAACGATGGTGGGGGTGGGCTGGAGATGGCCACGCCCCTGGAGATGCGGCCAAGCCCCTGGAGTGTGGTCAAGCCCTTGGAAACGAGTCACGCCCAGCACTTTTCCAGCAGGTGCTGTCTCCCAGGACCAGGGCCACTGGGTTGTTGCAGACACAACCTTCATTT